GAAAATTTTTTGTGACTGTTACTTCTATGGTAGTGTAATAAGGATAAAGATGGATTCAAAAGTTAATTTTGACTTTTTGTAAATAGTCCAAACTTCAAATTATGAAGAAATAAATCCTGAGTAATCAAAAAGATTGTAACTATACCAATTTAGTTTTTTTGTTTATTTTACTCTTTGTAAGCTACACTTTTGTTATTTTTTAAGATCGGTCTCACTCGTAGTGGGTCGACGCTTTAAACCGGACATGCGAGAGAGATAGGCTAGTTTTAATGTTTATGTGTTTTTTTGAATATAAATAAAAGCGTTTAATTTGTCGTAATTTATCATTTATATACAATCTATACTATTTCGGTAATGTTTTGCTGTCTTAAAATAATTAAATCTCAAGAAAAACAAGCTGTGATTTGTTTTTCAAAATGTCTAGCTATCTCGGTCTTACACTACTTAGTATTTTAAAGCAGAGTTCCATTTATCTTAATTCTGATTTCATAGTGATCAAAGGCTTCTCTGATTATTCATTCAGAATGCAGATTGAATAATCTGCATTCTGAATGATTGTCGAATCCTCTTTTTCTAATGTTTTAATTAGAAAAAGAGGTTGGCAGAACTTTAGAAAAGAGTTTACTTTCTTTAGAAATTTACTGTACTTTATCCTAATCTTTCGCATACGCGAAAAGGATTAAGAACAATCTCTTGCTCATTGTCATATATGTGAGATATTAGGACATGGGAATGTGCAAAAACAAATGTTAATACGATTGAAACAGGAGAGGTATTATCCGATTTCCCTAATTTGAAAATTGTGACCTTAAACAAGTAACGCGATCCTATTACCATCCGCTTATCAAAATTAATATTTTTGTTGATGACCGTATTTTAGAATCAGTTCCGATAGTGGAGCAGATGTCTCTGTAAGGAGGCAGAGGACATTTTGGGATGAATTACAAGGAAATATAATGACGAGAATCTCTAACTGAATACCGATTATTGGATGTTCTCTGGTCGTGTAACTGTTAAATTCTGTATAGGTTCTATCACAAATGAGATCACTTTAATTTAAAAGAGAGGACGGTGTAAAAGGTCATCATCATTGGGCTTTGGCATTAATCTTCATTGAGATGTTGTTATAATAGAGAGCCCATCTCTTTGCTTGCCGCAGATGAGACCATTTTCTTCTTACTGTCATGAAAGATCGAAAATGTTCTCGATCCTTCATGACAGTAAGAAGAAAAGGTTCACCGTCGGGAACAAACACATAATGAACTAAACGTTTCACATCAAAAGATTACTGCGACAAGATGGAAAAGTGCTGCCATAATATTGCACTCAAGGAAAGAATGAAGAATGATGTTTAAGACTGTTTGATAAGTAATACGAATCTTGATAAAAGTTGAACTGCACAATGTGCTTATTTTTAAGATACTATTTGTACTATTTATTTAAAAAAACGTATATTTAAACTTCATTTTATTTTTGGTTCTATTGNGAGTCGGAGTCTGATGGTAAGGAAAAGTCGGAGTCGGAGTCGGTAGATTTTTACGCGACTCCAAAGCCCTGATTTTTTAGCAATTCCATTCAGGCTCAAAATAGTGTGGTGGTGCCAGGAACATAGGGGCCCCACATATCCAGGCAGACCACCCCGAAAAACACCTAGTGTTTTCTGAGGCGTCCGAATTCGATTCCAGGTTCCCACAGTGGTAAGCTGCCACCGTACCCCCTCGGCCATCTGTCCGTACGGTTTCAGGTTGATTATTGCTTTTTTTACATGAAGTCTCTATTGTTTGGCGATTCCTTTGGCGATTATTTTTGATAAATAAGTAATTACAGAAATATGAATTTTTTTAATCAGTGTGGATTTTAAATCCACACTGATTAAAAAAATTCATATTTCTGTAATTACTTATTTATCAAAAATAATCGCCAAAGGAATCGCCAAACAATAGAGACTTCATGTAAAAAAAGCAATAATCAACCTGAAACCGTACGGACAGATGGCCGAGGGGGTACGGTGGCAGCTTACCACTGTGGGAACCTGGAATCGAATTCGGACGCCTCAGAAAACACTAGGTGTTTTTCGGGGTGGTCTGCCTGGATATGTGGGGCCCCTATGTTCCTGGCACCACCACACTATTTTGAGCCTGAATGGAATTGCTAAAAAATCAGGGCTTTGGAGTCGCGTAAAAATCTACCGACTCCGACTCCGACTTTTCCTTACCATCAGACTCCGACTCCGACTAGGGGCAGACTTCTTACCGAAAGAGACTCGGAAATTCTGACATCATCACGTGATCTCAGAATAAAATATTCAATAAATAGAGTTGTAATAAAGATAGAGCGTAGAAACTTTTTATTCCAAAGCTAAAAGCTAAGTAATACTGTATATAAATATGTATTCGATAATTTTTACTTTTCCGGCTGTTATATATAACAGAGGAAAAGTATAGCGCTCGATCAAAAAATGACCCAGCCCAAATTTTTACATTTTTGGACTCGGGACAGCTTGAAATTTCGAGATATGCAAAAGATTCGAGGTTTTTTTGGATATTAGACAGTGTGTGAGGAGCATGATTTCGTTCACCCTGTTTGAAGCCTAATAATTTCTGTGGTTAGAGTGGTCATAATCGGAGTCAGATGGTTTAACACAGGAGTTAGTTATTTAAGTCAAAGTGGTTGAACTAAATCATGTTCCCATATACATTCTAACATCTTAAGCGATAACATTTTGACGGGTTTTACTGTACTATTATAAAATGGCAAAAAAGCTTACTTTGAGGGTAAAGACGAGTTTTATTTTATTTTTTTAATTTTTGAACGCTAATAACGAGTAAAATATTCATTAAGAGATATGACACATGACCACTTTTATGTCTTCACCCTGTCGACCTTTAATTAAGAACCAAAATTTAATAGTATTAATGCCCCTTTATACGCGAGCTACAGTGCCACATTTCGTTTCTTAAACTCTACCCGTTCTGAGAACAGAAAATAAAGAAATTAAACAAATTAGACGCCAACACACACGCGCGCGCGAATTTTCCCCCTTTATTGACTTTTTTGAGGGGTTCGGGAGGTCTCCAAACGTGTAGATTTGCAAAAAAAAAAAGAAAAAAACTTGGAGGGTCAAATTTGACATGATTCCAATATTTTTCCGCTTTTTTATACACCTAACAAGTTGGTAAGTAAAAAGGAGTCGGAGTCGGCGGATTTTTTGACGACTCCGACTCCGACTCCGGCTAAAACATCAAAACTCCACGACTCCGACTCCGACTCCACAGCTCTGTAAAAAATAGAATACAGCTAAAAATTGCTAAAAAATAGAGTCACAATAGAATTGCTAAAAAAAAGCCCTCTTAATGTCCAAGCACAAAAACAGTCTGAATCTATAATTATTTTCTTAAAAATATTAAACTTTATTAACTAATAGAAACAAAATTTATTTTTTTCATTAAAATACAGTTTATTCCCATTTGTTTCTTAGTTTACGATAGAGTAAAATAAACGGATACTTATGGGTTAAGCCATAAGTACCAATAAACGTTTAAGTAAATAAGCTGAAGTTAAACCATAGTTTATAGATATACTGGTCCTTGCGCTATGCTCTCAAGTACAGTTAATGCCTTAGTTTGCCGATAGCTGGCGTTAGAGTCGCTGTTAGGCCAGAAGATTCTTTATCTATTTTGTTATTAGGCAATTTTTTCGTTTTCAAGCAATTTTTGTAACTTTTTTCTATTGTTCTGACGAAAAAATCGTATTCGTAATTACATTAATTTATATCATGTATAAAGAAAGAAAATGTGTATTTGGTTTATAAAAAAATTAATAACATGATAATTTTAAATTACAGATAAGGATTAAATTACAGTCAATTAAATCGAAAATAAAATTATTATATTATATATAATTATATATTTTATCCAGGTTTTAAATAGAGATCTGTTTAAAACTGTTAAAACTAATATCTCAAATACTATAGTAGAGATAACAGAAACTTATCACACTGCTACTGGTACCATAAAAATGACACTTCTATCATTTTAATGTTACCAGTAGCATTGTGATACGTCTCTGTTATCTTTACTATAGTATTTGAAATATTAGTTTCAACAATTTTCAAGACAAGAAGCTCTTTTATAATGTTTAAAATTGTTATATTGCTACATATTGTGAATGAAAGTTTTGTACATAATGTTCTGTGTATAATATATCTGTTTAATAAATAGGTAATGGTAAAATAAGTAAATAAATTTGAATTTTTCTATTTTGTTTTAATACATATTGTTAGAACAATGATGAGGCAGTCCTTTAACTTAGAATTAAACTTTATTCTAATCTAAGACTGTATATGTACTTGTTCACACATCCATAACTTAGCTGGCAACTGAACAACAGATCTTTTCTTGTTTCGAGCGGTCTTGCACGCTGTTGCCAGTTCATATACAGTTTGAGATATCGACACTCGCTTTAGTTTAGTATTCCCTAACACATATGTATGACAATATAATAAGGAAAACCATAGCTTATCCTCTGATACATTTAAATAGCAATAGAAATTTAATCCAGATAAAGAAAAACTATTTTTAAAATAATTTATTATACATAAAGTGTGTGTTATAATGATAGCAAATAAAAATTGCGATAAACTGACCGATGAAGCTAATGGAACACTTCACAAAATACTGCAATGGAGCAAGGAACAGATGCTCCCAATTAACTATGCAAAGTGTGAAGCAATGGTGTGTACTCGAAAAAATAAACGTGGACAGTTACAAAAAACCCTTAAACTTTGTATGGATAATAACAGAATTAAACAGGTGAAAGTTTTGAAATACCTTGGAATATTCTTTGACCCAAAGCTCAGTTGGCACCATCATGTGAATGAAATTAGCAAGAAAACGAGTCAAAGAGCTAACCTCCTCAATTGGATTATTGGAAAACACTGGGGATTAAACTTTACAAACAGCAAATTAATTTATAAGATGGCAATTGAGCCAGCTATTTTATACGCTGTCCCTGTATGGCAAGACGCACTTAACAACACACGTTTGCAAAAAATTACTGTCGATACAGAGAAGAGCAGCAATAAGGATTACTCGTGCTTATCGAACAGCTCCGACAGATGCAATACTGGTACTGGCTGGACTAATGCCAATACATATCACGGCAAGAAAAACAGTTTGGAATTGGCTCTGCACTAATATTCGGCTACACAGTTACACACAGGAGGATATTGAAAAACGTATTAAAAATAAAATGATTCCAAACAGCTACTGGAATATACCTGATATTATTAAAAAATATGAAATTGATAGAACTAGTAATGATATATGCCTCCAACTACACCCAGCAGACATGCACAGCTACGAAATAAGTTTCGATTATAATCCCGAAACAAACAGATACTTTCAGTGGATAGTGTACACAGATGGTTCTAAGCAAGAGTGCGGAGTGGGAGCTGGTGTGTGCATTCAAAACAACAACAATAAGACAATATATCAGGCCAGATTAAAACTTGCTAAACATTGTAGCATTACGCAAGCTGAACTATGGGCCACGTACAAAGCAATCACCCAAATAAAAGATAACTTAAATAAATACAAGGGTAACATAAAATTCCTTATTGACAGTAAGGTGGTTCTTCATGTCTTGGCAAAAACTGAAAACATCACGCTACTGGGCAAAGAAGTTATTAAAGTAGCACAATATCTCAGTACTACCCGCAATATTCAATTCAGTTGGATACCAGCTCATAAAGGTCATAAAGGAAACGAACTGGCCGATTCTTTGGCCAAAATGGCTGGTACTCTCAAGACGCAGGATACATATACCAGGTTACCAAAATCAACACTGAAAAATTCCTTAAACGAATGGGCACTACTTGAATGGCAGGAAAATTGGAATAATTCTACAACGGGGAGACTTTGCCACCAGTTTATTCCCTCTATTACTAATCGCATCAAGGCTAATTACTACAAACCTAGATCCGAAACCACCCAATGTTTAACGGGGCACGGCAATTTTATGGCCTACCTCTACCGCTTTAAGAAGAGAAACACTAATAAATGCCGGTGCGACAATAATAGTGTAGGAGATGCCATTCATTTTATATTCCACTGTGAACGATATGAGGATCAACGCATTCCATTCTATAGGGAATGCCTTCAAGAAGGTCATAATTGGCCACCGACACTACAAAACATTTTTGATAAGAAAAATCTCTGGAAGTGTTTTGAAAGGTTTATTGAAAGCACCAGGGCTCTTCTGCCAGACTTCTACAGGAAAGAAAAAATTCTTGAGAATGAAAACAAGAACAGACAAGATGAGCAGGAAGACAGTGAAAAATCGGAAAAGTGATGTTATCAGCGATTGATTGATCGGCCGTGTAGAATTCTTCTGTACATAGTTTAGTTGTCTAGTATTAGTTTAGTTTTAGATTCTAGATTAAAAAAAAAATTCCCATTTATATGTATCGGGTCCTCACGTACCATGTAATCTGTATTATTATATCATAGTAAGCTGATATTTACATTCTCTCTGCGTGTTAAAATTGTAACCAGTTCTTAATGTTATTGTAACATTGCTGTGTTCAAGGTTAGTTTATACCTACCCATATGTAATGGGTTTTGCATTTTACTGTAACCGGACCATTTCTCGTAATTGTTAACACTGTATAACGATCTTGCCAACTTTTGTAATTTTGGTTACTAATAATTTCCGATGCAGCGCTCTGAGGTCCTAATAACTTTTCTCAGCGTTACTTTTTCCCTTTTCCTTTATACTTCTCCCTTCAGAACCCTTCCTTCAACCTTTTCTTCACCCCTTTCTCTTCCTAGTGGGCTAAGTTTGCAAAAGCAGACAGTCCTTCCTCCTCCTTTATTATTATTATTATTATTACCTTAACGGACATTTTTTGACTTCCGGGGTATTCTGGACTCCAGCCATGCAGTTGAGCCGTCCAGCTAGACAACTTGGGATATACACTAGTTTCTACTTACGTTCAAACACTCAGGATAGATTTCTCCGAAAAAGACATCCTAGAATCAATTCCTGAAGGACTGAACTGTATAATGCAGGCACTCCCTACCAATTCCCACCGATACCGAGCAATAATGCTCGGTATCGGTGAATAATCGAAAATGTATCAGGCAAGCTGCTGCAATTAACCTTTACGGTATGATCCTGGCACTAAGGTCCAAAGAGAAAAAGGACGCGACTGGATATGCGGACGTTGTAAAGAAAAGAAAGATGAACGGCAGCCATACTACTAAAATTATACTAAAACAGCGGCTAATAACAGAGGAGAAATAAAATGCCAAGAATAAATCTGTAAATGATCGTCCGATGGAGAATTATTGTTTAATAAAATTGAAGACAAAACTGCCCAAAAAGGATCACCATTTATTATTTGTGTTCCAAGACGATACACTTTTCTGCGACTGACCTTTCTTTTAAGCTGCTTGTCGCCGGAAAATTACAGAGTCCTTTTAAAAGACAGAAAACACATCCAATTAAAATTATAAAAGTTTCTGAAAAAAAAAACTGGTGACATACAGTTATCCTGCTTACATCCATCTATACCTCTTTGGGCAGTTTTTTCTTTAATTTTATTCAAGAATTAATCATTGAACCAGTGACAACGGAAGAGGGAGAGACCCTATGTCCTGAGGAAGTAATGAACACCATACAACAGAAAATTGATCCAATTAGCTTAAATGCTATTGTATTCCGGTAGAATCTAATGCCATTGGAGCATGCTGCTAGTTACAAATATAGACAGTATAAATGGAAGACCTTATGGTAAAACAGTAATACTTCCATGATTGTACATAAAAAATACTATTGTATTAGGAACTAATGACAAGATACAATACGTTTAATTTAAAATACATTTTTCTTTCACAAAAATGAAAATTGTTTATGTAATGTCATTAAAGCATACAGTATATTCTAATATTTGACTCACAAGTCATTACATTTACAGTAAATTATGCACGTGCAATAGTCATTCTGTTTACAGTAATTCATTATTACATCAAAATAAACTTGCAAATTGTTTAATGAGCAATTTCTTCAGTATAATCAGCTTTCTTTTCATTACTTTTCAAGTTTCAAGATTTATTATGAAGTATTTTAATAGATTTTGCAGAATTATCTTTATTTAAAACAAATGGACATTAATACAAATATCATTTAAAGATGGTAGAACTTTTCACTCAAACTACTTGATAAAATAATAAATCAAATATGATAGTAAATCCAATTGAATGGTTTCAATTTAATATCTGTAAATACAAGCAAAATGTAAATGTGCTAGTATACATAATCATTATCAGTATGGATTTCTAAAACACTTTCTCCTTTATTCTGCATCATTTTCTGAATGTTTTCCTTTTGTGCATTGCTAGGTTTTTTCATAGAATATGCTGAATCTCTCTTCTTGAATTTCTGTTTAGTTGATTTGTATTTAGTTTGCTTTGTAATATTTTTATTTGCAGGTATATTGTTGCAGGTAGTGCTTGAATTATTGTTAAATGAGGATTCCACTGAAATTTTTCTCAACCAATCATTAAGAAAAGTGTTTAGCTCACATATTTGTATTTCATCGAGTTTTTTTTCACTATTGCATGAACTGCATTTACATTTTTTTTCCAATTCACAATATTCAGATGATTGATCAATAGTTTTAGTTTCCTTACTTATGCATAGACGGTAATTTTCTACACTCTTAAAAAGTGTATTTGGATCATCGGCCAAAATGTCACAAGATAATTCATTTGCTGCATTCCTGTTAGAGGTTTCTTTTTCTATTTTGATTACCGCATGAATGTGCTTAGACATGTTTAAACTCACTTCGTAATCCGGACATGTACATGAATACACATGCACGCACACATTGCATTTATTACATAACAACTTGCATCTAGTATGGTCTTCAATGTTCTCATTTTTTTCTCCACCACATATATAGAATTTGTTATGCTTTGTGATTTTACTTGCCATTGTATACTGTCAATGACTTTGGTAATATCACAAAATGCTATTGTTTCACTTTCTTTGTGACTTATATGCATTTTTGCTTGCCTGTGTGAAATAGTTCCCTTGCACATCTTTATGATGCGTTCAAACAATTTGTCACGAGCCATCTTTAACAACACATCAATACAATGGTCCACCCTCTTGTTCACTTTTACCTTCCAAATAACAATGTTTTAAAACTCTATGCATGGCCTCCAAATACATGTTTGTGTTTATGCCAAGACCCTTTCTATAACAATATGCCCACATTTTAGGATGGAAAGCATAAGTAAGAACAAAATACTTTTGAAATTCTTCAGTTTCTTTTTCGTTTAATGATTAAATGAATTTCTTTATCAGATTTTCAAATTTTTCTGGATTTGTTCTTTAAGAAGAACTCGTAGCATCTTGTATATAAGTTCTTGTGTAACCTTAACAGGGAAAGATGTGACAACTTTTTTACGCCAAGCCCTATCTACATGCCATGTGCACAATAACTGATGTGTAGCAGGACCCATAATATCTTTCCATGCATTGTAAATTGCAGAGGCATCATCAGACATAAAAACAATGGTTTCCAGTTTTTCAAGCTTTTCTCTGACAGCAGCAAAAAACAAAGAATACGTGGTTGTGTCTATTCGATTACTTAAGCAGTATGCACATGGTAGACCACTTCCAAATTCATCAACTGTAAATATAGTATTAACATAAAAATCATATGCAGTAGTGCCATGAGTGGAGTCCACACAGATCATCTGCTGTCCTAGCATCTTTAATAATTCTTGTTGTATTGGTAACATGATTATCAGTATAAAATCTTCTTTGCCAAGTTTCTGTTGAGCATCAACTCCCCCTTGCTGTTTAAAATATAAAACTGGAGACTGTTCTAATGTTTTCATTTTATCCACCCATAGCTGCACACTGATCTTATCTTCAGGTTGATATTTCTTCTTTTCCTGAATGTTGTATGCACACTTGATATTTTGCAAATCTTTTCTTGTCACAAGATGAATGCGAGTAAGTTCATTACTTGTAGAATCTCGAATATCATCTAAGATTCTCTTCAGGGTGACACTATTAGCAAGTTTTCCTAAAAAGTAAAGTATTGATAATTAATAATTTATTACTTTTTCCAAATCAACCAGTAAAATACACTTTACCTGCAATAACTGCTTTTTCACTATCAGACAAATGGATGTGTGCAAGACTGAGATTGTGTCCACAGTGGTTTTTATGGTATTTAGCTATTATTGAATTTGATGTAATAAACACCTCAATAGAAGCAATACATATATTTCCACTTTTGCAAGATCCCCGTGATTTTATTTGACGTTTCACACATCCTTTTGGAACATAATTTCCTGATCGATGACATGTATAGATTTCTTTTTAATTTTGCCATCAGAAAGTGTTGTTGGACCATTACGTGATATAAAAGATGATTTTACAAACTTCTTTATCTTTCCAGACAAAAAATTCTAGTGAGAAAAAGTACAATATTAATTAGTTTCTCAGATGAATAACTTTTATACATTTCTTTTTTATAACTTAAACAGCGTATTGTAATTGCTATTATTATTTTTACCAATTAAACAAAGACACCCCACAAAAAGTTTACTTTTAGGAAAAACAATTAAGAACTGTAATTTACACTAAGTCTTGCAACTACACGTAAAACACAACTTAAAAAATCCAAACCAGCTAAAAACTAAAAATTAGATATAAATTAACTAAAAGTAACTTCTACCAAAAAACTAGTATTCTATTCATTGTTATACAGTGTTTAATCTTAATATTTGTCATACTACAAAACTTTATCTGTTAAATACACTTTTAATATTACATGTTTTAGATATACCATTAATTTAAGAATCACCTATACTGAGAACTACTTTAAAAACACTAAAATTATGGTTTAACACTTAAAACTTACCTGTCATATCATTAAACGTTAGCTGTTCTTCACATTCTTCATAGCCGTTTTTTTCAATACAGTGCTGTCTTAACCTTTTAATTGAGACACATGCCAGGTTCAAACATTCTTCACTTACAGAAAATGGACAAGGCAAATTTTTTCTTGACATGTCACAACGTTGTGTAAAAGACGTTGATGTCTAATTAAGCTTTTCTTTGCCTTGTACTCTTTGTCACAAATGTTGCAAGGAAACATTTCGAATGCGCACTTATTTAAATTTATATTAGAAAAATCACAAATGAAAAATCAATTTACAAATAGCTGTTCCCTCTCACAACAGCAATATGAGGTGTAGGCTTATCGACCAGTATTTCCTATTTCAGTGGGTTGACGTCATTCAGCTGACCAATCAGTGCTTTGTGCCATCTGGATATTTAGCCGCACGTCATCTGTACAGTATATAAATTAGGTACTCTAAGTCTAATACAGTACTGTAATTTTATACATTTCTTG